GTCACCATCTTCCGCAGAGTCCTGGACGCGGAGAATGCGCCGCGAATGCCACGTGCAAAATCTGTGTGAGAGTCGCCGTGCCCGTACATGTAGCTGCACTGCTCGAGCCTGCGCAGCAGCATCGCTGCACGCACCCCGAGGAGGTCCCCAGCGCCCCCGCGCGTGGCGCGCTGCGCCTCCCGAGGCCCGCCGCGGCCTGCGAGCTTGTCGCCGTCGTCGCCGCCGCCGCCGCCGCCGCCGCCGCCGCCGAGGTCGTGGTCGTGGCCGTGGTCGTGGTCGTCGTCGTGGTCGTGGTCGTCGTTGGACGCCCGAAACGGGTGCTGACGGGGGAGGGAGCCGCGGCGGCGCGCCCGAGGCGCTGGTGGAGGCAGCCTCGCAGTGGACAGGCGGCGGCGGGAAGCGGGCCGTCCTCGGGCAAGGCGTCGTCGGTTCGGCCGGGCTCGCGCGGAGCAGCGCGGCGGCGCGGCGAGGAGTGTGCACAATCGCAGGCCCAGAGGTTGACACCAACACCAAGATCGGCGGTGTGCCTCCACCGAGGGATGAAGATCCCGATCTCGATGATGGTGGTAACATTCTGGCTTCCAAGGTGGCCGAAATATTACCACCAACACCGACATCTAGGATCATCTTCCCCCTGTGGAGGCAAACCCCCGTGTTGGTGTGGGTGCCCATTTCCAGGCCTCCGACACAAGCGGTGCTCCCGACGCGGCGGATCGCGGGATTCGGGTCCCGCCGCGGCAGCCGCAGAAGCAGACAAGCGTCGCACCTCACGCCAGAATGCGGAACGCGTCCGGGTCAGGGAGCAAGGCAGAGCTGGGCCCCCTGTTCCTGCACGCGTGGATCAGCGCTGATCTACGGGAGGGGCAGGGGCCCGAGTGGCCCGCCAGAAGCCGAGCAGACCTCGGTATGCTGGACAGCGGCGGTCACGGTGGAGTCCGTGGCCGAGCTTGCCGACGAAGCTCGAGCGTGCCGTGTGCGGCCCACAGGGCAAGGAGCGCAGGCCGGACGTGCTTCGTGCCAGCCTCGCCGTGGATGCCCGCTCGCCGGAAGCGGCGATCGAGACTCATCTCGAGGCGAATGGGGCGCTTCGCAAACATCGGGCTGCACCGAAGGCGTCCCTCGAGCGGTCGGGTGGCACGGTGGCAACTCATGGGAGCCTCCCGTACCATCTTGTCGGCTCGTGCGAATCGACGCCAGTCGACGCAAAGTCGACGCTACATAGACGCTAAATCGACTCTGGCCAACACAAAATCGGCGCTACCTCACCGACTCCCAGACGCTAGTCGACGCTAGAGACGGAATCAAGAGGGCATACCAGGCTCCCATGATTTGCCACCGAAGAACGGGACGCGACTCAAATCGTAACCTGCAGGCCGCCCAGATCCAGCCGTGCTGTCGCGTGCATGCTGTGAACAAGGTGTGAGATTTGCGATGTTGCACAATTAGGATACAAGGCTTCTTGTTCTTGCTATCCTCCTCCTCCTCCTCCTCCTCCTCCTCCTCTTCCTCCTCCTCCTCCTCCTCCTCCTCCTCCTCTCCTCCTCCTCCTCCTCCTCCCCTCTCGTCCTCATCATCCTCCTCCTCTCCCTCGCTTGTCTTGACGTTGCACGGACATGACGCAGATCGTCGTTGCGTCTTGTGGTTCTCCTCCTCCTCCTCCTCATCCTCCTCCTCCTCCGCCCCCTCTCCTCCTCCTCCTCCTCCTCCTCCTCTCCTCCTCCTCCTCCTCCTCCTCCTCCTCCTCCTCCTCCTCCTCCTCCTCCTCCTCTCCTCATCCTCCTCCTCCTCTCCCTCGCTTGTCTTGACGTTGCACGGACATGACGCAGATCGTCGTTGCGTCTTGTGGTTCTCCTCCTCCTCCTCCTCCTCCGTCTCCTCCTCCGCCCCCTCTCTCCTCCTCTCCTCCTCCTCCTCCTCCACCTCCTCCTCCTCCTCCTGCTCCTCCTCCTCCTCCTCCTCCACAACTACTCAATATGAATACTACTCTCCCCCTTCCCCTGATGACGGTTTGAAAGTGGTCGACCCCCCCCGCGTACTGTTTTTTTACACACAGGTTTCCCTGGAGTTGGGTCTTCGCCTGCGTTTTTTTCCCAAAATGCTGCTATCGCTGAGGCGCCGTCCTCATTTTCGGGCCCCGCTCGTTCCGAATCGTGCTCCCGCTGCAGCGCTGGCCTCATTTCTGTGCTTCCGCTCGTTCCGAATCGTGCTCCCGCTGCAACGCTGGCCTCATTTCCGCGCTTCCGCTCGTTTCGACGCGTGCTCCCGCTGCAGCGCTGGCGTCATTTCCCGCGCCATGCCACGGCATGCAATGCAATGCTAGGTTGATACTACGCTTTGCGGTGCTCTTCTACGCCATGCCATGCCGTGCTCTACAATGCATCGCGTACCCTTTCGGGATCATTGCCCTGCTCGACATCCGACTGAGCGAGTAGAGAGGGAATCTGCGCCATGGTAAGGAATGGGAGGGAGGGGTAGGATGTCAGATATGACGCGAGCGCACCTAGCTTGTCCTCCTCCTCATCCGCCCCCTCCTCCTCCTCCTCCTCCTCCTCCTCCTCCTCCTGCGTTCTCCCCCTCACTCCTCCTCCTCCTCCTCCTCCTCCTCTTCCTCCTCCTCCTCCTCCTCCTCCTCCTCCTCCTCCTCCTCCTCCTCTTCCTCCTCCCCCTGCAAACTCCAGCCCTTCCCCCGCTGCTCCCCAGGGCGCCAGGCCAGCATCGCCGCCGCGCCAATACGCGGCGCAAGCCTGCCCACGGCGAGAACCCCCGCACAAAATCAGTCCCCGGACCCTGCTGCCCACCAGCAGCGAACGCATCACGCATCCACATCCCCTCCCCCTTCTCCTCCTTCTCCTCCTTCTCCTCCTGCTCCTCCCCCTCCTCCTCCTCCTCCTCCTCCTCCTCCTCCTCCTCCTCCTCGACCTCCTGCTCCTCCTCGTTCTCCTCCTCCCTCCTCATTCTCCTCTTCCTCCCTCTCCTCCTCATCATCCACATCCTCCTCCTCCTCTCCTCCTCCTCCTCCTCCTCCTCCTCCTGCTCCTCCTCCTCCTCGTCCTCCTGCTCCTCCTCCTCCTCCTTCTCCTCCCCCTCCCCTCCTCCTCCTCCTCCTCCTCCTTCTCCTCCTCCTTCTCATTATCATCCTTCGCCTCCCCCTCCCCCTCCTCCTCCTCTTCCTCCTCCTCCTCCTCCTTCTCATTCTTCTCATCTTCCTTATCCTCCTCCGCCTCCTCCTCCTCCTCCGCCTCCTCCTCCTCCTCTTCCTCCTCCTCCCCCTCCTCCGCCCCCTCCTCCTCCTCCACCTCCTCCTCCTCCTCCTCATCCTCCTCCTTCTCCCATTGTACTTCGGTCAGGAGGAGGAGGAGGATAAAGAGGAGGAGGAGGAGGAGGATGTGGAGGAGGAGGCGGAGGAGCAGGAGCCCTTTTCTTCCCCCCAATCTGGGTCACCCCCCGTTACCACCCGCCCCACCCCCCGAACCTCGGGGATCTTCTGACCCGGGTCAATCCAGACCCGGGTCAACAGGAAACCGAAAAACTGCAGTGCAGGAACAAAAAGACTGCAATGCAGGTCTTCGCAAACCCGGGTCAACCAACAGGCGCGGCCGCCTCGCGGCCACGAGCGGCTCGCTAACCCGGGTCAACCAGAGGGGGTCTTCGCAGGATCCTGCAGGATCTGGTGCCCTGGCTGACCCCCGTCTGCATTGACCCCCGTCTCAAGGCTCCCTCGAACCTTGCCCCTCAGAGAATCCGGGGGAACCCCCCCTCGAAGCTGCTGTTATGTCGGGCATGTCCTCCCACAGGGGGGTCTTGGACGAAAAATCAAAAGAATCAAACGAAACATGCGCGAAAATAGGCAGGAATTGTCAGCAACAAATCGTCTCCTGACTATGCTTTGACTACTCTTGAATATTCCTCCTGTAGAGTTGTGGATGCCACGACAACGGACACCCTAACAATCCTATCATTGAATTTAAACAAGGACTTACAAATGCAGGAAAAAAGACATGTTTTAGACATCTGGAAACTATTTGGCAACATGCTTCCTCTCCACTGACCGTCCTCCACAACTGTAGAGGCACATGCCCGACTCGAGACTGCCGCCGCCGAGCCCCCCAGCCGCCGCCGCCCCCCTCCCCTGACCTCCCAGAGAGCTATCTGTTGGCACCGGAGGCCTAAAAACCTAAAAAGCTGAGCGAAACAGCCTAACACAAAGACGTAGAAAATAGCTCTGGGATAGGTTTTCAAGTCGGGTGCTATTTCTTAGCCCTCCTGGACCCTGGCCATCGCTCGGACGTCCATTTCCCTGTGCGTTTTTCGGTTTTGTGCGTGGCTTCTTCGCCAGATGATCCAGGATGCTCCTCGATGGTCCTCGCCGAAGGAAAAATACACACGTCCAAGCGATGCCAGAGAGCTATCTGTTCGCACGGGAGGCCTAAAAACCAAAACAACTCAGCGAAACAGCCTAAAACCAAGACGTGGAATAGCTCTGGGATAGGTTTTCAAGTCGGGTGCTATTTCTTAGCCCTCCTGGACTGGTCATCGCTCGGACGTCCATTCCCTGTGCTTTTTGTTGGTTTTGTGCGTGGTTTTTTCGCCAAATGATCAAGCCTGGACTGGCCATCGCTCGGACGTCCATTCCCTGTGTTTTTTCGGGTTTTGCGCGTGGCTTTCTCGCCAGGTGATCAAGGATGCTCCTCGATGGTCCTCGCCGAAGGAAAAATACACACGTCCAAGCGATGCCAAGATTTGTTAGCACTGGAGACCTGAAAACCTAAAAAGCTGAGCGAAACAGCCTGAAACCAAGACGTAGAATAGCTCTGGGGGATCGGTTTTTAAGCCGGGTGCTATTTCTTAGCCCTCCTGGGAAGGTCAGGCTCCCGGCGGGCCGCGCGGCTCCGCAGCGGCCGCGGCGGGCCCGCGGCCGCCGCGGGCGCCGCGGCGGCCGCGGGCGCCGCGGGCGCCGCGGCGGCGGGCGCCGCCCGCGCGCTGCCGGCGCGGGCGCCGGCGCCCAGCGGGCGGGGGCGAGGCTTGCGCGCGGAGGCCTCGCGGGGGGCCAGGGAAACCCGGAGAGCCAACGCATTGAAAAAAATTCAGGGCGGAGGTTTTTCGCAGCTCTCGGCCTCGATGGGGCAGGGGCGAGGCTTGCGCGCGGAGGCCTCACGGGGGGCCAAGACCCTGACCTTCCAGAGAGCTATTTTTTAGCACTGGAGGCCTAAAAGCCTAAAAAGCTGAGCGAAACAGCCTTTCACCAAGGCGTAGAATAGCTCTAGGATAGGTTTTAGGTCGGGTGCTATTTTTTTAGCCCTCCTGGAAGGTCAGGGGAACCCGGAGAGCCAACGCATTGAAGAAATATCAGGGCGGCGGTTTCTCGCAGCTTTCGGCCTCGAGGGGCCCTCGCCGGGCCCCCAGAGCGCCAAAACACACGGCTCGGGATGGAAGCCCGGTGCTGGGGGGTGGGTCGAGACTTCCGGGGGCCCCGCACTGAAAAAATCACGGCATCGGATCTCTGGGAAGTTCGGTGGCAACTCATGAGAGCTTCCCATACCATCTCGTCGGCTCTTGCGAATCGACGCTGATCGACGCTGATCGACGCCAATCGACGCGAATCGACGCTGACTCGACGCTAGATCGACGCTGGTCGACGATAATCGACGCTGAATCGGCGCCATCTCATCGACTCCCAGACGCTAATCGACGCTAGTCGACGCTGAAAACGGGACTGAGAGGGCATACCAGGCTCCTATGATCTTGCTACCGACTGATCGCACAACACGCGCTCAGACCTGTAGGGAGGAACAACGGGGAGGGGTAACGCGATGAAGGCGTCATAGGGATGGGTGCGAGTTGTCGGGGGGCTCCGGTTCGAGCGGCGACCCCCATCCGACAACACACACCCATGCCCCCCACCCCCGGAATTCTACCCCAGGAGCTCTGGGTATCGTATAGGTAGTTGTGGGTGCGAGTTGTCGGGGGCGCCAGGACCCTCCGGATCAATGCGGCTCGCAACACGGCGACGAAAGATCGGGCCTGGGGCTGTGGTCGTGATGTCCGGTGGCAGCTCATGGAAGCCTCCCATACCATCTTGCTGGCTCTTGCGAATCGACGCTAACCGATGTTAGTCGACAACAAGCCGACGCTAACCGACGCTAATCGACGCTCATCGACGCGAAATCATCGACTACCAGACGCTAATCGACGATAGTGCACTCTGAGGACGGAATTCATTGCAAGGGCACACAAGGCTCCCATGATCTGAAGCCGAAGTGATGTCTCACGATGTTGTGCAGATTGGCAACGCTGGATCAGAGAGGAAAAGCGGGCCAGGAGAGGGGCCCAGGTACACGTAACATGTGTATGTATATGCGTAGATATATGTTTTTAATGTGCAGTTCTAATGAATCCAGGCCTCCGCGTTTCTCTCCCTGGAGGCGGCCCCGTGGGTCCGCCGTTTGGGCCGTGGGGCCATCAAGAATCGATCCAAGACGAAAACCTACCGCCGGGAAAGGGGTCAGGACCTCGGGGGTCGCGCATGGATGAAGGGGCCCTGGGACTCACAAATAAATAGACACAAATAAAAGGAGTCCCCATATTTTCCCGTATTTTCTGGGTGTTCGTCTTCCCGCCCAATTCCCATATTTTCCCGTACTTTCTTGGGAATCGACGATTCATCGTGTCTGTGTGTGTTTTTCCCCTCCTGAATGGAAGAACCCACACCGCCGCGTGTCTGTCGGGGGGGGGGGCCGCGCCGGCCGCCCACGGTGGGGTTTTTCCACGCCGTGGATGTCCCCCCTCTCCCTCCCGCCCTCCGCGGCTGCCGCCCTCCCCTCTTCCCCCCTCCTGCAGTCGGACAGCTCGCGCCGTGTCCTTGCCCGACCCCCTAAGGTTACCAGCCTCGAACGTGTCCCTATCCCCAAGATCGACACGCCAAAAGGCGATGACAATCTTAGGGATCCGCCCTCAAAAAAGAAGGGGATCCCTAAGATTGGCATCGTGATGCGGAGGTGCCCATCATAGGGATAAGGATATGCTCCAGGCTGGTCATAAGGAGGGCCACCGAAGCAGCCGCGTGCCGCCGGCTCGCACAGTGCCCCTCTTTGGGGCGCCACCAGAGGCCCCGCCGGCGCGTCGACGAAGAAGGCAGCGCCCCAGCGGCGGCGGGGCCGAAGCCAGCGGTGCGCAGCAGCGTTCGCATCCCCCCCCCCCACACATTACGAAGAAAATCCTGGAGGCCTCGCGCGGCAACTTGAGATCCGATTTACGTCGGACCTACGTCGGATTTACGTCGGGTTCACGTCGGACTGCGTCGGACTTACGTCGGACTGACTCCTGAGCATAGCCGCGCGAGCGTCGACCTATAGCTCACGGAACGGACAAGTGGACTAGATCATACTACTATTACGCGCCGCGCGAGGCCTCCAGGATTTTCCTCAGAACCCATACTTTCGCCATGGGGCGCACAGCGACATACTAACACTAGATGTCCTCCCTGGAGGCGCGCGTCCGACCCGAACATATAGTATATCCACTTTGTAGTACATCGTTCCCCGAGCCGGGTGGCCAGAAAGCGCCCGCCACGACGCATGTACTATACGATTTCTCAATGCGCGCGGCGCCCCTGGGGGGGAGACGCACATATAGTGTAAGTATGCTGGGGTGACGCCGATCCCAGTTTCGTCCGCCCGGACCCCGATTCTGGAGGCGCGGCCCGCAAGTACTGGGGCGCGGCCCCCTGCAGTGGAGACCCGTGCCAAGGAACGCCCCGCTTGCCTCCAGGGGGCCCCGTGTTTCTGGAGTTCCGATGCTTCTGCTGATGGAAATGCGTGACGCCCCCGCGCCAAAACGTCGATGGACGCCCTGGGGGTCCAGGGTTGGGCTTCTTTGAAGGGGCCCTGGGACACACAAATAAATACACACAAATAAAAAGATTCCCTATATTTTCTCATATTTTCTGGGTTTCTGTCTTCCCCCCCACTTCCCAAATTTTCCCATATTTTCCTGAGGGTCGACGATTAATTGTGTCTGTGTGTTTTTTCCCCTCCTGAGCTTCTTGTGAAGGCTTCTGGTGGTCGAGCCCCTGCTGCACGGCCTGCGTCGCGGGACCCCCCTGTCGTACGGGGGTTAGGGCGGGCATGTCCCCCTACCGGCGGATTTTGGACGAAAAACCGAAAAGACCCAAAGAATGCTCAAGATATATAAAAAACACAAAACATCGTCCCCAGACTATTGTTTGACTATGGTCGAATATTCCTCCTGTAGAGGGTCAGGCCCATTTTGCTACGAGGGGGGCTCAACAACGCGTGGAGGAGTTGCGGTCCTGGGCGCGCCCCAGGGAGGGGATCTGCGCGAGGTGCGGGCACGGGCCGCATGGGGGGCCACATGCGAACCCGACCCCATACCCTTGTGGATGCCACGACAACGGACACCCTAACAGTCCGATCATCGAAGTGAAAATGTGTTAAAAAATGTAGGCGAATGTCCTGGAAATGTTTTAAACATTATTCTAAACATTGATCAACCAGATTTAACACATTTTCTAAATATCTGGAAATGGTTTGGCAACATGGAAATGGTTTGGCAACATGCTTCCCCCCACGATTTCTGAAGGGGATGGTGGGGTTCACTTCGCTCGGCAGGGGTCGGGGTCGGGTTCGCACGTGGCCCCCATGCCGAAGACGCGAGAGCGCGCGAGCGGGCAGGGGACAACGGGAGCGGATGCGCGAAGCGGCGGGAGGCGATGGACCCAGACCCACGACGCCATGATCGTTTCGCGTTGCTGGCCCCCCTTAGGCCCAGAGGTCTGGACCTCCTCTGCAAGACAAATTTGTCATCCCGAGTCGGCCCCGTGACCCGGCGAGGGCCCCAGGAGGCCGAAACTCGCCCAAAATCTTCCTTCGCGATTGTTTACGCGAAGGGGCCTCGGGATAGCGGAAAAGGAGGAGGAGGCGGAAAAGGAGGAAGAGGAAAAGGAGGAGGAGGAGGAGGAGGAGGAGGAGACGGTGGAAGAGGAGGAGGAGGAGGAGGAGGAGGAAAAGGAGGAGAAGAAAGAGGAGGAAGAAACGCAAGGAGGAGACTGCAGGAAGGCGGACGCTGCTTAGGACGCGCTGCATCCGGGAGCAGGCCGCGCGCCCCCCCCCCCCCCCCCGACCCCGTTCCGAGCGTACTCCGATGCGCTCGGCGCGGCACGGGCCACCCTCGGTTCACCTGTGGCTCTGCGTCCCCGCGCGACGCGGCGGCCTCGCCTCGGCTGGCACGTGCCTTCGCCGCCTCCGGCGGCCTCCCGGCGGCCGCGTCCGCCCTCCGCCCCCAGCGACGCGCAAAGCCCCCAACGCCCGGACGCTGCTGGAGAGCAGGGCGCGATGCCACCGAGCAGGCCCACTAATGAACAGCAAGGAGATGGACGGCCCTCGCTGGCTGCCCTGCTGGCCCTCGGCCGCTGTGCGCTGCCGCTTCGCTGGCGGCGGTTGCTGCGGTCCCTGGCCCACGTCGTTGGCGGCGGTCCGCTCTGGCTTGGGCTTTCTCAGCGCGGCTTCCACCTGGCTCATCAGCTGCTGCCGCCAGGTGGTCGCTGTCTCGGGTTGACGCGGGCCCGTCTTCAGCATGTGCCTCACCGCCGTGCCGTTGTCCTTCTGGTGGACCTGCTGCTGGCCGTGCCGCCGCCGCCGCCGTCGCCACTGCAGGAGCGCCGCCACGCTGGCTGCGGAGCTTTCCTTGCCCCTGTTCGCCTCATTTTGCATCAGGTCGTTCTGCAGCTCGGGGTGCGCTCCCCTCTGAGGTTGTGTTGCTGGGGCTGCTGGGGCTGCTGCTTCGTCTCCGTCTCTCGCGGCTGCTGCGACACCTTGTTCCCGTGATCCGCGAGGAACGCCGCCACGCGCTGGTGCCCTTCCGCTGCCCTGCCGACGCCACCGGCAGCGCAGCCGTCCGCTGCCTGGGCTCTGGCTGCCCTGCGGATCCGCGCGCTGATGAGCCACGCTCGTTGGCAGACCTCCTCTTGCAATCTGCGCATCCTGCTGGTTCGTTCTTGCTGTGGCAAGTGCTCCACGAT